GGGCTGAGGAGCTCGGAGGCCCCGGGACCCCGACAGCTGCGTGTCAGCGGGCCTCGGACCCGCCCCTGCACAGCGGGGACCCCCTGCTGCCCCTCCGGAGGCCACTGGGCTGTCTGCTCGGAGCTCACGCGCGGAGAGCCCAGGAAAGGATAAAATTTCCGCCTGGAGAGGGGCCCGGAAGTCCCGCCCCGGTCTCGCGCGGAACCAGCGGCGACGTCCTTCGCCTCTCAGCGCCTAAACCCGCCCCTTTGGGCGCAGTGGCCTCTGGGTTGCGTAGTTTCCTCACCCAGTAGGCGCAGATTCTCCTCCAGCTCAGTCTCCTTGGCGTTTGAAGGTGGTGTCGCCGCCCTGTTGGAGGGGCTCCTTGGGGAGCGCGTCTTCCGGCTACCACAAGGTTGTGGGTTCAATCCTCGTTCAGGGCACATACGAGAATCAACTAATGAATGGATAAGTAAGGGAACAACACACTGATGTCTCCCTTTCTCTCTCTCTCTCTCTCGAATTCGAGGGAGGGAGGGAGAGAGAGAAACATCAATGATGGGAGTGATTGACCACTGCCTCCTGCACGCCCCCTGCTGGGGCTCACAACCGCTGCATGCGCCCTGACCAGGAATGGATCCGCCATCTCCCGGATCACAGGTGGATGCTCAACTGCTGAGCCACGCAGGCTGGTCCCAATGAGTGAGACTGCCTCAAGAAGAAAGTATCTGTAAGGGGAGTCTGACAGAAGGGAAAGCAGTAAGATGTGAGAAAACATACCTGGAAATAGTGGTGGAAACTTAAAATTATATGGACTAAAGTTAAAGTTATGTGGCACTTCACAACTGAAATTAGACATTTTTGTATTTGAGTACATATACTTTTTTTAAAAGGCAGGTAAGAACCATCAAATTTTCAAAAACTCAGCAAAATCATTTGCCGCAGTGATAATCCTTTGGACAGTAATAGGTGACTTATTTTGTAAAATTTACATAACAAAATTTGTTCTTTTAGACATTTCTAAGTATATTTCATTCAGTAGCATCAAGTACATCCGCATTGTTGTGCAATCACCACCACTACCTATCTCCAGAACTCATAGTTCCAAACTACAACTGTACCCACTAAACAGTACACTTACACTCTATAAATTTGACTAGGTGCCGCATATACATTTGTCCATCCGTGGTTGATTTCACTTAATATCTTCAAAGTTCATTCATGTGGTGGCATGTATCCAGAACTTGCTCTTCCTTAAGGCTGAATATTTCACTGCATGTATATAGTGGAGGATGGGCATTTGGGTTTTCTGCCTGTTGGCTGTTGTGACATTATGAACATGGATCATATGGTAAATGTGTTTGATTTTTTGAGATTCTAGCATACTCATTGTAGTTTTGATTTTGCATTCCCCTAATGATTTAGTACAAAATATGCTGAGCATCTTTCCATCTGCTTTTGACTATCTGAATTATCAGATATAAAATTTGCAATTATTTCTTCTGCGAGTTGCCCTTTAAAAAAATATTTAATTTTTTTAGAGTTCTCATCTCACAGCAAAATTTAGAGAAAGATTTAGAGATTTCCCATATACCTCCTGTCCCCCACCAAAGTGGGTATGTTATAGTCCATGAACCTATATTGACACATTATAATCACCCAAGATCCACAGTTTACCTTAGCATTCCCTTTGTGATGTACATTCTACGCGTTCATACAAATGTATGATGATATATCCGTCATTAGAGTATCATACAAAGTATTTTCTGTGCTCTGCCTATCCATTGGCCCTTGAGTAATCACTGATCTTATGACCCTCAGCATAGTTTTGACTTTTCCAAAATATCATGTAGTTGGAATCACGGTTCCTCCATGTCTCTTCATGGCTTGATAGGTCATTATGCCAAAGAATGCAATCGCTGAAACTTAAAGGCTTGAGCAGCAATAAAAATGAGGCCAAAATTGAAGAGGTATGGTCTACCATCATTCCATACCCTCTGAGGCACACCAAGTTTGGGATCCCAACCAAAGCTGTTCACCTCTTCATGCTAGCAAACCCACTTAAATTCAAAGCACCCCAGTGACTAGAACCCCCAAGGTTAATAGTGGTTTCAACTATAAGACATTTATTGTCTTACAAAATGAGTAATGACAGGCTGTTCCATGGTTGGTGACTTGGAGGCTGGAAAATGCCAACACAGGAACCACGTGAAACCAACAATATCCATGAGAAAGTGCAGTCCATCTTTTCAAATGCCCAAGAGTCCTCTAGGCCAAAACTGGGTAAGTTCCATGCTCTAACCCATCAGAGAAGAAAAAAAATGGGAAAGAAAAAGTGTTCAGGCTACTCATGAATCATCCCACAAATGAGAGAACACTGGGGTTTACTTCCCTGAACATTCTGGGGCGGATAAATGCTGCACAATGTAGACTCCATCCAGGAGGTACAGCTGAAATGGCTTCTGCTACAGAACTGCCAATGACATAAATCTGGTCATGGTCCTGGCCAGGTTAAAAAGTGCAATGCAATTTCCACATACCTGGAATTTATGTGGATGCTCAGATGTATGAGGCTCAATACAGGCAAATGGCACCTTCATAAGGGGTCTCCTGGTGCACTGACCAAAGAAATAGTATATACCTGCACAGTTAAGGCAGTTCTCCAATTTCAAATCTGTGGTATCCAGTAAGACAAGTCTTTCAGCTGAAGCCCTTTCTCTACTGTGAATTTCATTAATGAATCTAATGAGGCTAGACTTTGGTAAATGATTTCCCACATCTGACATAATCTTAAGGCCTTCATCCAATGTGACATGGTGTTTTAGGACCCTGGAGTTAAAGGTAAATAATTTCCCACATTCTAATGCTCATAAGGCCTTTATGCAGTGTGAACCCTTCGGTGTTTAATGAGGCTTGAGCTATGGCTAAAAGATTTCCCACATTCGCTACACTCATAAGGCCTTTCTCCAGTGTGAATTCTCATGTGTTTGATGAGACTAGAATTTTGAGTAAAGGATTTCCCACATTCACTACATGCATAAGGCCTTGAACCAGTGTGAACTCTCTGGTGTTTTAAGAGACTGGAGCTGTAAGTAAAGAATTTCCCACATTCACTGCACTCATAAGGCCTTTCTCCAGTGTGAACTCTCCGATGCTGAAGCAGCGCAGAGCTTTGGCTAAAAGATTTCCCACATTCGCTGCACTTATAAGGTCTTTCTCCACTATGAACTCTGCGGTGTTCAATGAGGCTGGAGTTTTGAGTAAAGGATTTTCCACATTCACTGCACACATAGGGCCTTGACCCAGAGTGAACTCTCTGGTGTTTTATGAGACTGGAGTGGTAGGTAAAGAATTTCCCACATTCACTGCACTCATAAGGCCTTTCTCCGGTGTGAACACTCCGGTGTTGAAGGAGTGCAGAGCTTTCACTAAAGGACTTCCCACATTCACTACACTCATATGGCTTTTCTCCAGTGTGAATTCTTCGATGTTTAATGAGGTTGGACTTGTTGCTAAATAATTTTCCACATAGGTCACACTCATGAGGCCTTACTCCAGTGTGAACTCTCCGGTGTTGAATGAGGCTAGAGCTCTGCCTAAAGCACTTCCCACATTCCCCACACTCATAAGGCTTTTCCCCAGTGTGAACTCTCCAATGGTCATTGAGACTATAGCTTTTGCTATAAGATTTTCCACATTCACAGCACATGTAGCCTCTTTCTCTAGTGAGGATTTTCTGGTGAACGAACTTGCGTTTGCAATCGAAGTCTTTCATGTATTCTCCAGAGTCAAACAGGTTTCTCCCCCTGTGAGAGGCTGCCCCACACTCAGTTCTCCTATTTGACTTCTCCCTGGTATTTATGATCTGTTGCTGAAGAAATCTTGAGCTGGCCAGGAAGTCCCTCACAACTTCCCCACAGGAAAAGGGCTTCCCTGACACACAGAATTTGCAGTCCTTTACAAATGAGACTCTGCAAGCGTTACTTCTGAAGCACTTCTCTCCCACGTGCTGCTTCTGATGCTGAAGGTCTGCACTGACATTCAACTGTTTCTCACACGTCTCAATCTTGTGCAGTTTCTGCCCATGACGTGTTCCCTGGTGCTCGGTCAAGTGCAAAATGTCTCTCAAGTCCACACCACACAGCTCACAAGGATGAGCATTCAGGGGAGGCACACCTGCCTTGGGAGTCCTAACCTGTGACACTCCTTGTAAAAAATCGCTGAGTTCAGAAGGTGCCTCCTCATTCTGGGCTCCATACCAACAACCTGAAAACAAGAAGTGCTGGTGAAGTTCATGTTACTTCTGGTGGGAGGGAGCAGTCCACACACATGCGTGCCTCAGAAAAACCTAGGAACAAGTCCATGGTATTGTGTGCAGGACCAGGGAGTTGGTTCAGGCTAAGGATGGGGCTGCTTAGCACTACTGGGCTATGAAGAGCACAGAATGGGAGAGGCCTCACGAAGTGAAGGACATAACCATGCAGTGTGACACACAGAGGAGAGACAGGGTTGACAACTCACTTCTCTACTAACAACTTTCCAAAATAACTTCTCTACTGGTGACACATAAAGGCTGTGTACAGGGTGTGTTAAGACCCAAGAAAATACAACAGGGCAGCTGGTTTTCAAAGACTCTTAGGAATACGCACATACCTCAGGACACAATACACAGGGGCCAACAAGAAAAGCACTACAGATGGAGTGGTGAAAAAAACGGGTTAGACACAGAGCTCAAAGCAGTGAGGTTAACCCCAGGCTGGAAGTGAGAATAGAAGTGACAAGTGATAGGGTTGACAAATCGGCAAGTGTCAAGGCAGGGGTAGGAGAGACAGAAATGGGTGTTAAAACACTAGTCCAACAGAATAGGTGTCTGGTATGATTTCAACACAGCACTGACTTCACGCTCCCATCCAGATGCCACACCTGAAGCATGGCTTATACAAGTACTAAGGGAAGGAAGGCACAGAGGAGTAGCCAGCATTAGCCCTGAACAACTCAGCACATGATAGCCAACAGCAAAGAAAACTAGTCTGGCTGGTGTGGCTCAGTGGTTGAGAGTTGACCTAGGAACCAAGGGGTCACTTGTTAGATTCCCAGTCAGGGCACATGCCTGGGCTGTGCCTTGATCCCCAGTAGGGGGCATGGAGGAGCCAGCCAATCGATAAAAGTTTTTCTCTCATGATTGTTTCTCTCTATCCCTCTCCCTTAAAAAAAAATCAATAAAAACATTTTAAAAAAACTAACTACTACACAGAAAACATCGAAAGAGGCTCTTGCAAGAAGAGGCCATGGTCCATGTAAGGAGTAACCATGTCAGTGACGGCAATTCCAGGCACAGGGGGGCCTGAGGAAATGTGAGCTAGAAGAAAGAAGTAGAACCTAGGCTCACAGGTACCGTGCATCTGGGCTAAGTCACTTGTTCAAGGAGAAGGCAAGTGAGGTGGTATCCATTTAGGTTCAATGGAAGATTACTTCCCTGCAAGGTTGCAGGGAGGCAGGTGCTGGGGCTACTCAAGAAAGGAGAGGGCGGTGCACACACCTCAACTCAACACAGCAACTACCCAGGGATGTGGGGAAGAAAGCAGTGCCCATGGTTCTGGTGTGAGGATAGACCTGCTCCTGAGGAAAAAGGGAAGGGCAGAGACTACTTGCTTACAGCACAGGGGTGAATTTGAAAACCTTACCCAAGGAAGTTGTAAGTGCCAAGTTCGCCAGCATCACATCGTGGTACAGACGTCTCTGAGCCTCATCGAGGAGCTCCCATTCTTCCAAGGAGAAGTACACAGCCACGTCCTCAAAGGTCACTCTGCCCTGGCATGATGGGGACAAATAAAACCACAAAAAGCTCCTATACTGAGAACCTAGAATCCTTTCCCCTTCCCAATCTACCCATCTGAAAGGTACATGCCCTTGACCAGAATCGAACCTGAGACCCTTCAGTCCGCAGGCTGACGCTCTAACCACTGAACAAAACCAGATAGGTTGCCAGAGCTGCCTTTTTAAAAAATACACATACAACTCTGACTGGCTCAGTTGATTGGAACGTCCTCTTGCACACCAAAAGGGGTGGGTTCGATTCCAGGTCAGGGCACATACAAGAGGGAACCCATGGAACCCTCGTATCAATTTTCCTCTCTCTCTCTCATCTTCTTCCTTCCTGTTTCTAAAACCCTTATTGGGTGAGGAACAAAACTAAAAAGAAAGAAAAATTAGAAACACACATCCAGAATGCAACCACATCCCCTAAGTCACGACTCCGGTCCATTGCCCCTCCAATGAATTACAGCAGCCCGGGCCC